GAGGTGGTGGAGATTGGTGGGGGTGGGGGTTGAGGGGAATGAAGAGAATGACGGAGGGAGAGAGGGGAGTGAAGAGAAAGATGGGGGAAGGGGGGAATGAAGAGAAAGATGGGAGGGTGGGGAGGGGGGGGTTAAGTGAGCAGTGGCCCAATTGGTACTGCGGGACTGTAAGTAAACGTCACTGGTAGCAAAATAAAAAATGAAGAGAGAATTGGGGCTTATTTTTGTTTTTGTTTTGTTTTGGGTGTTTTTTTGTTCTTGTTTTTGTTGTTGTTGTTGTTGTCGTTGTTTTTGTTGTTGGAATTTTGTTGTTCATTTTTATTTTTGTTGTTGTTTTTTCTTCTTTTTTTGAGGAGGGGGGGGGGGGGTACAAAGTCCACCACTGGACGCGCCGAGTAATTCAGAGTAAAAAAAAGACAGGAAGAAAAAACAAGAGAGGGGGGGGGGACAATTGTTCAGTGCTGGCAGAGGAAAATATTAAAGGGTTGGTGGGGGTGGGTTGTGGGGACTGAATGAGGTTGGGGTGGAGGAAGTGGGGGGTAGTTAAAGTTAAAGAGTAAGGCTGAGGTGTGCACGCGAATGTGCGCAACGAAAAAAAAAAGGGAAAAAAAATTACTGGAAGAGGGAGGCGAGGTGAGGCGGGGTGGGTGGGTAGGGGTGGGGATGGGGGCCGTGGGGCGTTCCAGGTGAAAAAAAACCTCAAACTCGAATGAGGAAGACGTGGAGTTGAGCCCAGCTCCCTAGAGCGCTACGTGCGCTCCTCAAGTTCAAGGCCTGTTGTATATATAAAGGGCTGACATCAAGGAAGGCAGCACCGAGGTCTGCCGTCTTGGGTTGTGCTTCCTTGCACCAGTATTTCCACCACGGTAAGGCGCACGTTGATAACCACAACTGTTTCATTCACAGAGAGAACTTTATTTCTCACAAAAGTTTCTTTTCTATCAAGATAAGGTTACACTGCATACAGAATTGATAATATTTCTTGCACCAGTATTGAGAGAGAGAAATAGAGAGAGAAAAGAGAGAGAAAAGAGAGAGAGATAGCGAGAGAGGGAGAGAGAAAGAGAGAGAGAGATAGAGGGAGAGGGAGAGAGAGAGGGGGAGAGAGAGACAGAGAGAGAGACAGAGAGAGAGAGAGAGAGAGAGAGAGAGAGAGAGAGAGAGAGAGAGAGAGAGGGAGAGAGAGAGAGAGAGAGAGAGAGAGAGAGAGAGAGAGAGAGAGAGAGAGAGAGAGAGAGAGAGATAGAATGGAAATATTTTTTCTATCTGTATAGAATTAATGTTTTAATGAATGTTTCTAGTTACTCACGTTTCAACTTTATTTTGACTGTTCGTGAATTTTTATTGCATTGTATATTTTTAGTGAACACATTTTCAACCTCACTGCGAGACTGTTTTTCTGGTATAAAATTTTACACATATGCATTTATATTATATGTATAATACTTTGTTTTACGTACACATTTGTGTCGATTAATTTTTAAGATGTGATGTCTTTTTCATTGTAATGCGCATTGAGCATCTTTTAGGAAATGGAAATGCGCAGTATAAAGGCTATTTATTATTATTATTATTATTTCCACCACAGTACGGCGCAAGTGATAACCGCGACTATTTTATTCACAGACAGAACTATATTTCTCACAAAAGTTTATTTTCTTATAATCATGAGGCCACATTGATAACTAAAATAGCTTTGATTACATGTAGAACTAGTGCAGTTATTCCTCGCACCAGTTTTTCAACCACGGTAAGGTGCACATTGATAACCACAACTGTTTTATTCATAGATAGAACTAAGAATTGTTCACAAACTTGTATTTCCCATCACGATAACGTCACACTGATCACGAGAATATTTCCTTATAAATATATAATATATTTTCCTCTGAATAATATTTTTCATTATGCATGATAAGGTTACTCTGATCACGAGAATTGTTTTAACCATAGGTAGAACTAATATTACAATCCTCACAAAAAGTTAATTTCCTCATAATGATGAGGCCACATTGATAACTAAAACAGTTTTGATCACTCTCCTGCACCAGTATTTCCAACATGGTCGGGCGCACGTTGATAACCACAACTGTTTTATTCACTGGTAGAACCTGTATATTCCTCACAAAAGTTATTTTCGATCAAGATAAGATTGCACTACATATAGAATTGATATATTTCTATCCCTTGCACCAGTATTTCCACCGCAGTCAGGCTTCCATTGGTAACCACAAATGTTTGATTCCCAGAGAGAACTAACAATTTATTATTTTCTCTCAAAAAAAGTTTATTTCCAGTCATGATGAAGTTACACTGATTACGAGACCACGAGTAAAACTTTTCATTGTGTATTTTATAAAATATTTTTTGTAAATGTTTTGCGGCACTCGCAACTGCAAAAGGTCATAAATATGAGCGAGCGGTAAAAACTAAACATTTTCAGTTGGTAGATCCAGGTTATTTTGAATTTTGCCCAGGTGGCAGCCGATTGTTGGGCCACCAACGGATCTTTAACGTGCGAAACTTGCACACGAAACCTCTGAGATGTTCGCCCTTGTCCGAGAAGGCGAGGTATAATCTTACCTACCATAAGATCCGGGGTTTGGCTGAAAGGTAGCAATAAGAAGGAGCCAAGGAGTGGCAGTAGAAAGGTTGCAGAAAGAGCCAGGACCCCAAGGAAGGGGGCAAAGGGGGTGAGGGGGATTGGGACAAAAGTGGAGACGAAAGCAGACGACAGAACATTGTTACAGGGCAGGAAAGGATGTGAAAGGAGAAAACTTTATAGAAACAACTTTTCCGTCACTATCCGGATTCGAATCCGGGACCTGTTGAATAAGAGGCGAACACCTAAACCTCTTGGCCACGATAGCCCCCAGGTAAAACTAATCCTCACTAACGTTGGTTTCTTTGGGTTTAAAAAAAAAATCCCATTACGGTAAGGCGCACATTGATAGAGACAGGTAAAACACTTAATGTATATCCCATCGTGATTAGGTTACACTGATCATAAGAATTTTTATTTTGTAACAACAGTATTTTACCATCATTATAAAATTACACCGATCAGGACAATTTCATTACAAAATTATATTTTCCATCATGAAAAGGTTACAATGGTCGCGACAACTGTTTTTCATTCACAAAGAAAGCTTATGTATTCCTCACGAAGTTTGTTTCATTTGTTTGTTTGTATGTTTGTTTGTTTTACGTCACGGTTAGGTAAGGCATACATTGATAGCCACAAATGTTTTATTCACAGGTAGAACTACTGATATTATATTCCATCCTCACCAAATTATTTTTTCTTACGTCCTAATGATATAGCTACATTGATAATAACAACAGTTTTAATCACTTTTTTAAACTACTGTTTTCTTTACTAAAGATTTTTAAATCGGTAAGAGTAGACTTCGACCGCCACCTGGGCAATATTCAAAATTAAGTCCTACCAAAACGAAAAATATTTAACGTGTCCAGGGCGCTCATGACCCTATTATGCAGTTGCGAGCGCCGTAAAACACTTACCAAAACAAACAAAAATAAAAATTTACCCACACCATGGTAAGGGTTACATTCCATTCATAACCCTAACTGTTAATCACAGTAGAACTTTTCAGTAAGCTGTTCAAATGTTCTAATCCTAGAGAGCAAAACTTTTCAGGAGACAGAAAAAAATGACATTCTTGAAATGAGTTGTAGATCTACCTGGATTCTACTTTGTGAAGGATGCATATTCTTGCTTCTTTTTTTTTTTTCTTTTCTTTTTTTTATCTTTTTTTTTTTACAACATTTGCAAATAGAAAAAGATGAACAAAGTCTCCAACACCACACCACCAGATTAAACGAAGAATGTAACAACTACCACATGAAGATCAACATCAACAAAACAGAGACAATGAAAGTAAGCAGAAATCCAGGACCACTCAAGATACACTTCAACAACAACAGTCTCAGACAGGTCCAAGAATTTGTGTACCTCGGAAGTATTCACAGAGGATGGGCGACTGAACAGAGAAATTGAAACTCGAGTACAAAAGGCCAGTACTGTTAGTTACCAGCTTGCTCCACTACTGAAAGATCCTAACATCAACTTCCCCATGACAACAAAACTCAAAATGATCAACACCATATTCACACCAACACTCAACTATCAATGCCAAAATGGACCTCGAACAATACATTTCAGCAAAAAATTACTAGATCTACGTGTGAAATGCAATGTCTTAGAAAAGCAGTAAACAAGACCAGGCGAGACAAAATTAGAAAACAGTAGTCATAGAAATGGTGGGCACAAATGATGTCATGCGACACATCCAACACCAAAGAATCAAATAGTTCGGACATCTCAAGCGATTACCAACACACCATCCAGCACAACGTGCCTACATAAAAAAAATGCAATGGCAACAAGGCTAGAGGGCGACCGAGAAAGACCTGGATAGATGGAGTCACGGAAACATTAACAACTCGTGGCACCCCCCTGACCTAAGCTCTCCGGATGGTGGCTGAGAGACGTCTTTTTCTTCCCGCGACACCCAAAAGGGTACATGTATAAGCAGCGGATAAAAGTAAAGTAAGACAAACTGAATATTGACAAAAGCGACCTGTACAACAAATTAAGAAACTGCTATAAAATATTGGTCCAAAATTTCAAAATATACATCTTTATACATCTGACCACTTGGCGGGCGTAACATTTTCAAAGTTACAAGTACAGCTAATGTTTCCTTACAACAATAATATTTTGATATCGCTCTGTCTCTCTCTCTCTCTCTCTCTCTCTCTCTCTCTCTCTCTATCTATCTATATATATATATATATATATCTATCTATCTGATATATATCTCCCTCCCACCCCCTCTTTACCCCCTCTCCCTCACTTCCTCATTTCCATCTTTCTCTCCACAGAGGATGAAGGTTGCCAGCCTCACCGCTCTCCTCGCTCTCCTCCTTTGCCTCAGCCCCGCCACGGGCTTTGGCTACCCGGGCTATGGCTATGGCTATGGTGGCTACGGGGGTTATGGTGGCTACGGAGGCTACGGAGGCTATGGGGGCTACGGGGGCTACAGTTTGATACACCCAGGAATTGGCGGATACGGAGGATTTGGCGGTCTGGGTATGGGGTATGGAGGATTTGGTGGAATCGGAATGATTGGCGGAGGATTCGGCGGTGGATTCGGCGGCGGATTTGGCGGCGGAATGGGAGGACTTGTGAGTGAGATAGATCGATAGATAGATAGATAGATAGATAGATAGATAGATAGATAGATAGATAGATAGATGAAAGGATGGATTGTGGGTGGAAAAGTAAAGGAAATCATATATTATGGAATAAAAGGGGAAAAAATCCTTTGCGTCTATTAAAGTTTTTGGGTAGCGTCTTTGATGGTTTCTGTGAATGACGTTATGCATGATGTCATAAGTTAGTACAAAGACAATGACATGAGCTGAAAAGCAATAGTGCACATTGCCAGTTGGATACATTTGTTGATACATTTGTTTATATTTGTTGATACATTTGTTGATACATTTGTTTACATTTGTTGATATATTTGTTGATACATTTGTTTACATTTGTTGATACATTTGTTGATATATTTGTTTACATTTGTTGATATATTTGTTTACATTTGTTAATACATTTGTTTACATTTGTTGATACATTTGTTTACATTTGTTGATACATTTGTTTACATTTGTTGATACATTTGTTTACATTTGTTGATACATTTGTTGATACATTTGTTGATACATTTGTTGATACATTTGTTGATACATTTGTTTACATTTGTTGATACATTTGTTTACATTTCTTGATACATTTGTTTACATTTGTTGTTACATTTGTTTACATTAATTTGTTGATACTTTTGTTGATACATTTGTTTACATTTGTTGATACATTTGTTGATACATTTGTTGAGACATTTGTTGATACATTTGTTTACATTTGTTGATACATTTGTTTATACATTTTGTTGATACATTTTGTTGATATATTTGTTTACCTTTCTTTACATTTGATGATACGTTTGTTTACATTAATTTGTTGATACTTTTGTTGATACATTTGTTTACATTTGCTGATACATTTGTTTACATTTGTTGATACATTTGTTAATATTTCTTTACATTTGATGATACGTTTGTTTACATTTGTTGATACTTTTGTTGATACATTTGTTGATATAGTTGTTGATATATTTGAGGCTCGGTCGATTAATGAAAGCGTTAATATACTCATACATCAAATTCATCCTTTTTTTCTGAAGGCAAAAGACCAAACCTGCAAAGCGGAATAATCATTTAGTTGGTTGTTCAAATTATGTCAAGACGGAAATTTGTGCCCCTCTATAAAGTAAAAACCTAATCTCTTTCTAAATGTATCAAAATAATGTATTATAAAAGGTATCAATATAATGTATCAAAATAATGAACCAAATTATGTAACATATTAATGTATCACATGTTAGAAATGTATTTTTTTAAGTGTGTGTGTCTTAAATAATATGTATCAACTTAATGTATCGAAAGTATCTAACTAATGCATGAAATTATAAATTAACAATAATTTATTAACTGTATCAAATGTATACAGAAAGTATCAAATTAATGAATCGAATGTAACAAATTAAGGTATCAAATTAATACGTCTTATGTATCAAATTAATGTATTATTTATTATGTATCAAATTAATGTATCAAACTGGCCAAGCATGAATAAATGGTTAATAATAGTAATACACAATGGGTAGAAAGGACTACAAAAAGAAAAGAAAAAAAACTTTTTGTCTCTGTTTCAGTTCCTGGGTGAAATCTTTGACGACTTAATGGAGGAGATGGAAAACATGGTAAACGATGACGATGATAACGGTGATAACGGTGATAACGGTGATAACGGTGATAACGGTGATAACGGTGATAACTACGACAACAATGGCTCCTACTGAGAAGCTGTAAGTCTTCGAACGAACACACTGTCAGCAGCAGAAGAACATCTAACCTTTGATCAACAGAACATCCTCAAGCAATATTATGACAACTTCCTTGCTCCAGTCACAGCCTTAGTCTCTCTCTCTCTCTCCAACAACCCTCGGTGTTTACGGAATAAAATCAACGTAATTTTGTACAACTTGCGCTTCGTTTTGAAATTACGTAAAGGGTGTAGGTGTGTGTGTGTGTGTGTGTGTGTGTGTGTGTGTGTGTGTGTGTGTGTGTGATTGTGTGCGTACATGTGCATGTGTGTGTGAATATGTGTGTGTGTGTGTGAATATGTGTGTATAATTATTATGTGTGAGTGCGTATGTGCGTATGTATGTGTGTGTGTGTGTGTGTGCGTGTGTGTGTTTGTGTGTGTGTGTGTGTGTGTGTGTGTGAGTGTGTGTTTGTGTTCGCACGCGCGCGCCCATGAGTATGTACGTTTGTGCTTGTGCTTTGACTTGAAATCACGTTGTGTGTGTTTGACAAGATCTAGTGTGTGCATATGTGTGTGTGTGTATGTGTGTTTGTTGAGACATTTTACGCTCCCATCAGCACTATTTGGGTGACTTAAAAGGCGGGCTGCTTTTTTCCTTGTCTTTGCCTGCCGGGGCCAACTTAGGCTGAATGAGATAATGTCTTCTGTGTGCAACAACGAAGGGCCATACACTAACATTAGTTTATAAAGGGGAAAAAAACCCAACAAACTGTTTGTTCTGACCAATACCTTGCAAAAAGTAAGTGCTCATTGATACATGTAGTACGTTCTAGTGTGGAACACTTGCGTCTGTGGTATAGCGGTGAGGCGCTTAGCTGTCGCACGCATAAGACCTGAGTTCGATTGGAAAGAGTTTTTAATAAGGGAGTGCTTATTTAGGCCAGATATGGTCAAAATAACCCCCCCCCCCCCCCCGAACATAACCTTATTTAGGCCACATATGGGCAGAATAATGAAATCCCTCCAACCTAACCTTATTTAGGCCACACACACACACACACACACACACACACACACACACACACACACACACACACACACACACACACACACACACACACACACACTTGATTGACACACACACACACACACACACACACACACACACACGCACAGTTGTGGTTTATAAAACGCAGGCTGACCCATGGACAGCTAGAAAAAGAAATGAAAAAGTCTTGCTTGAAACAAAAGGCAGACGACAGCTCTTGACGAACGAACGAAAGCGACATGCAAATTTCATTGGACACACAATGCGGAAAGAGTGGAGAATATAGCAACAACAGGCAAGTTTTATGGAAAGAGGGGCAACGGCGGATAGAGGGAAAAGATACTTGATAGGTTGACAACATGGCTGGGAAAAGCAAGAACAGCAGACACTAGCGCTGCAACGCAAGACAGATTGAAGTGGAAGTCCATGATCGCCCACGCCAGTCGACAAGACAAAGGATGATGATGGTGATATATGTTTTATAACACTGTGTAGTAGTAGTATAGGGTTTTACGGCGCTCGCAACTGCGAAAACATAGAGAACGCCGATTTCGGAGACTGACTCAGTAAGCGCCGATAGGTATAAAAATTCCCTTATGATTTCCAACTTGCCCCACATAGATCTGGCAGACTGCAGGCGGCTTTAAACTCGGATCGGAGTTGTCGGCTTTATCGGAATCCAAACTACATTCTTATTACGCCGAAAAACTGGGAAGGGCGTCTCGCTGTCAACTCACCACCGCAGTGATTTCTTGTCGTATTTCATTTTTTAACAGTGAAAATGAGACTTCTTCTTTAACTCACATTTTGTTATGAACTGTTTTCACTGTTATTAAAAATGGAGGTACGACAAGAAAGCACCGAGGTCGCGAACTGTCAATGCCGTCTCGCCGTCGCCAACTCGGGTTCAGCGGTTTGTGTGACGTAACCCGACTGGACTAGGGACAATTTTAAATGGTCATTTCAGAGCTGGTGCTTCGCGGTAGACAAAAACTAATTACATTTTTTAAATCAGCATCGTCAAAATAGGGTGGTCACCGAGCAGAATTGCATTTTAAGCAATATTTAAGAAAATTAGTGTTTTTTCCCCAAAAAATATTATGCTTCATGAATACCAGCTGTGTTGTGGTGTAATTAATTTTAATTTTTTTCTTACATCTTGCTCTAGGTATCTCGGCTTTACTGTGTCAATAGAGTGTGATTTTGAAGAGACGAGGCCTGTGTAGTTTTTCGTTGTGCGTCTAGCGATCTGCTTATCTGGCTGTGTCGTGTCTTGTCAAAATGGATGTCGATTTACAATAATAATAATAATAATAATAATAATAATAATAATAATAATAATAATAATAATGAAGATCATTTCTATAGAGCCCACTCCCGTGTAAACACAGCTCTGGGCGCTTTACATAAAAATACATGTACGAACAATATTCACGCACGCGACACAAACACAAAAATACACACACTCATACACACACACACAAACACACACACACATACACACACACAAACACACACATACACACTCACGAACACATAACACGCACACATGTGCACACACATGTACGCCAAACACACACACACACACACACACACACACACACACACACACACACACACACACACACACGTATCTACTTGCTTATCAAACGCACACGCCTACACGTCGTCACGAAATGAGCATAAAATAATCTACACAATGCAATTCACAAAATACATAAATGGATACATAGTCATTTACATAACATTGTATTGAACCTGAATCTACAGACAAAAAAAGATGTCATTAAATGTATCTTTAAAGATTTTTAAAAATTTAGACTCAGATGTTGTATGTCTCAAGGGTTGGGGAAGAGAGTTCCAAACTGACGGAGCAAAGTGGGCGAACGATCTTTCAGCTAATTTTTTACCCCCTTTTCTAGGAACTCTTAAAAGATACTGATCGCCTGATCTTAGTGATCTAGATGGAACATAAATCAGGATGAGATCACTAAGATATGAGGGAGCTTTGTTATTGACACATTTATGACATAATATTGCAATTTTATATGACATTCTACCGGACAAGGGAAGATAATCTCTCTCCTCTCTCTCTCTCCCTCCCTTTCTCTCCCTCCCTCTCACCCTCTCCCTCCCTCTCCCCCTCTCTCTTCCTCTCTCTCTTTCCCCCTCTCTCCCCCTCTCTTCCCCCCCCCTCTCCTCCTCTCCCCCTCCCCCTCTCGGATGATAAGTCCATTCTTGTAAATTTGTAATCACTCAAGACCTAGAACTAGATTCTAGATACGGTAGATGTAGGCAGACTAGACAACAGTAGATCAATGCAACGCGAGCTTAAAGGGATCGGCAATAGGCGTCCTCTATGTGGAGTCAAGCAGACACCTACTGGCGCCTGTCCGAGTCGATCTTCAGCCGCTTAAGTTTCGGCTTTCTTTGTGTTATCGCCCTACGGTCATATGAGTATGAGCGCTAACACTGTGTGCCATATTTTGGCTCAATGGATTCTCCTTAGAGAAAAATTTCACATTTTGTGAAACATCAAAATACAGTTTCTATTCCTGCTAAGGCACAAGTGCGTGTCGCATTTCTTGCGGTGGACAGATCGCTACCCTAGAATTACAAAGTCCCATCTGCTCAATAACTAGTTTTGAGAAATTTGACGTTTTAAAAAAATTCAGTTTTACAAGACGTCAAGCTTTTTCGAATGCAATTCTTTGAATATCCTGATACATGTACTGACTCCGGATAACTTTACGATTTTGATCAAACATTTGGTGTCTGACCTCATGGTATTAGAAACTCAAAACGGCCAAAAACGTCAGATAAAAAATTTTAATTTTAAGGCAGCAAGATTACTTTCCAGTGCATCGTTGGCGCACTGTAGTTGACCACTCGGGGTGGTGCTCAACTCCACCAGAGCGCAAATCTGGAGCAGGATTTCTCCTCTTGTTTGTTTTGGAAAGTGTTTTTCGGCGCTCGCAACTACATACGGTCATATGGGCGCGCGGGACACACTATTTAATTAAACATTTTCAGTTTGTAGGAAATTTTGAATTTTGCCCGGGTAGCGGCCGAAGCCTACTCTTATCGTTTTTGGACCCCCATGGGATCTTTAACGTACGCTACTTGCACACAGAACCTCCGATCCTACCAGAAGATCAGGGGTGAGGCTGAAAGACAGTAGCAGTAAGGAGCCAAGGAGTGGCAGTAGAAAGGCTGTAGAACGAGTCAGGAGCCAAGAGGAGGGGGCATAGGAGGTGAGGGGGTGGAGGCCGAGAGTGGAGACGTGAGTAGACAATAGAACATTGTTAGAGAGAAGGAAAAGATGTGAAAGGAGAACATTTATTTAGGGAAGAAAATTTGCCATACGGATCCGAACCTGTGATCTTTTGAATGAGAGCCGAATACTTTAACCTCTAGGCCAAGAGTGCCCCCTTCTCCTCTTGATTGTGCGGGGCATGGATAGTCCAGGACTCTTCAGTGATGGACGGTCAATAGTGCAATTGACCAGGACCAAAGCAGCGGCAACTTTTACTTGACTTTAGTCAAGATTCACGGGCTCGAGCTGCAGCAGCAGATGAAAATGGCGCTTTTGCCACAACCATGCATTAACAAGGGCAATCTGTAGTGTGTGCATCAAAGAATATGATATGCATGTACCGTACTCACCGGCAAAAGTAATGCGAATTCACATGACACTAGAAGAGGAGAGTAAATTGAAGCAATGTTTTTATAGAGAGAAACAGGTTTGAGGTTGTCTAAAATTGCATAAATTAATGCTTGAGAGTTGGGGATTTGCCTAGGGACAGATTTTGTTATTCGGCATCAATGACCTTGACCTTGGGGCTTAAGTTCCAGTCAGTATCTGGTATGGCCTCCATTAGCGTTGATGACAGCAGTGCAATGGGGGTGAATAGAGTGGACCAGGCGATTGATTTGGCAATTGGGGACCTGCACCCACTCCTAAAGAATAGCAGCACCCAGTTGTGCAGCGGTCCGGGGTCTGGGCTGGAGTTGGTTGAGACGCCTCTGAAAGATGTCCCAACGGTGTTCTATTGGGTTCACATTTGGTGATCGGGGTGGGTGAGGCATGGTGGGTATGTTGCTCTGCACCAGGAACTGCAGGGTAGCACATGCTGTATGAGGCCGGGCGCTATCCTGCTGAAAGAAGTG